TCTGGCCACTTTTAAGATTCTTGCTTTGTCATTGGTGTTTGCCAATTTAATTATAATGTGCCTTGGCATTAGTCTTTTGGGGTTCATTTTGTTTGGGACTCTGTGAGCTTCTTGGATTTGTGTGAGTTTTTTCTTTCCTATATCAGGGAAGTTTTCTGTCATTATTTTTTCAAACAGGTTTTCTATTCCTTGCTCGGTTTCCTCTCCTTCTGGCACCCCTATTATGCGGATGTTGTTTCATTTCCAAAGTTCTCTTAGGCTCTCCTCCTGCTTTAAAATTTTTTTTTCTAGAAGCTGCTATGCTTGGGTATTTTTTCCTACCTTGTCTTCTAGCTCACTGATGTGGTCCTCTGCTTCTTCTAGTCTACTGTTGATGCTTTCTATTGAGTTCTTTATAGCAGTGATGTCATTTTTCATTTCTTCTTGGTTCTTCTTCATTTCCTCTTGGTCCTTACACATATTGTTGAATTTGTCTTCCATTCTTTTCATCTACCTTATGACCATTTCTCTGAATTCTTTCTCTGACAGGTTGCTTGCCTCCATTGCCTCCATTTTGTTTACTTCCTTTTCTGGTGATGCCTGTTTTTCTTTCGTATGCGGACTGTTTCTTAGTCTCCCGATGATCACTCTTCTCCAGGTGTTTGGTTATGTAGTTATCTCTCTGTTTTACGTGAGGAGGAGCAAGGCTTGTCTAAGTCCACGTAGTCGCACTGCTTGCGATGATCCCTGGATACCGTGGTTGCAGGGTCTCTGGATGTATACGCTTCCGATATCAGCCACTCAAGATGGTGCGGTCTTCGTGGCTGAGCCGGTTGCTCCCCGCTGGCTTTCTTTTGCAACTTTTTTTTTTTTAAAAAAAAAACACCCAACTTTATTGTATTATAATTCACATAATATGCAATGTACTCATTTTAGGTATGCAGTTAAAAAGATATTCTCAGGTCTGTGCAACCATCACCACAGTCAATTTCAGAATATTTTCATTACCTCAGAAAGAAACCTATACCCTTTAGCAGTCACTCCACATTTCCCCAAACTGCTCCCAGACCACTAATCCGCCATCTGTCTTTATAGACCTGCCTATTCTGGGTGTGCCATACAAATGCAATCATGCAACCTTTATGACTGGCTTCTATCACTTAGTTTAGTGTTTTCAAGGTCCATCCATATAGTAGCAGGTGTCAGTACTTCATTCTTTTTGTGGCTGAATAACATTCCATTTATGGAAAGACCACACTGTACTCATTAGTTGATAGATATTTTGGTTTGTTTTGCATTTTCCTGATGATTAGTGATGCTGAGCATCTTTCCACATGCTTATTGCCTATTGTACCCATTACATTTTTTATAAGTTGCAAGATATAGCTTACATGAAAAAAAAAGCACAGAGACCGTTTATTTAAAAGAATAATGATAAAGCACCCATATATAGGAACAGAACATTACCAGAACCCCAGATGATGCCTGGGTGACCTCATCAACTACAGCCCCTTCCCTCCAACTCCAGAGACAAGCACTTTTGGTATTTGTGTCCCTCATCTCTTTACTTTCCATGCGTCCCCTCTCTGTGTGCCCTGAAGAATACAATCCAGTTTTGCCAACTTTTAAATATATATATATATATATATATATATATATATATATATATATATATTGATTTCAGAGGGGAAGGGAGAGGGAGAGAGAGATAGAAACATCAATGATGAGAGAGAATCATCTATCTGTTGCCTCCTGCATGTCCCCCACCGGGGACCAAGCCAGCAACCCAGGCATGTGCCCAGACGAGGAATCAAACCGTGACCTCCTGGTTCATAGGTCGATGCTCAACCACTAAGCCACAACAGCTGGGCAGTTTTGCCAAGTTTTGAACTGATAAAGATAAAACAATTCTGTGGAAATCTTTCAATTACTTCTTTCCTTCCCTACTGTGTTTCTGAGGTTGACCTCTGTTTGTGTGGCTGGCTGTAGTTGTTCACTGTCATTGCCCTAGTGCAGTGATGGTGAACCTATGACACGCGTGTCAGAGGTGACATGCGAACTCATTTTTTTGGTTGGTTTTTCTTTGTTAAATGGCATTTAAATATATAAAATAAATATCAAAAATATAAGTCTTTGTTTTACTATGGTTGCAAATATCAAAAAATTTCTATATGTGACACGGCAGCAGAGTTAAGTTAGGGTTTTTCAAAATGCTGACACGCCGAGCTCAAAAGGTTCGCCATCACTGCCCTATTGTGTCCTGTTGAGTATACATGCCTCAGTTCATCCTTCCTACTATGAGGGATGGACATCCAGATGGTGCTCTGTTTGGAATTATCATAAACACTGCTGCTTGAGCATCCTGGAGCCTCTTTCCTGTCCACATGAGCAGGTTTCCCCAGGCTCTGCTGCTTGCACTCTTCAGCTTTCTCAGGCTGCTGTGTTTGCACTCAGTTTGTGTGAGTTCCAGGGATTCCGCAGCCTCACCCACACTCAGTAGTGTCAGAATTCATTCTGAACATCTTCCAGCATCTCTCTGTTCAAGTCTCTGACCGCACTAAAATCTCAGTCATCCAGGCCGTCATGTCTCAGGAACACCTGTCTGTTCCTGGGTCCACATGCATCACACCTCTGAGCCTCGCTCTTTCCCACTTTTCAGGCCAAGGTGGGCTGGCCTGTGGGAACTCTCTTCTCACTGATGATACAGAGGGACATCTGTGTTATTTAGGTGGCTACTCATCTAGCAGCTCCAAGTGTGTGAAGGTCGTGTGAGGGTGCTGGCACATAGTATGTGCTCTGTCACACTAGGTGTCCTGATACCAGAGACTCAACCAGCCAAGATCTCTGTCCCTGAACATTCTGGATGCTTACAACATTGCTGACTTGTTTGATTATTGGTACTCTAGTCAAAACACAGGTAATCTTCCCTTCCTGTTGAGTATATTGACCAAGTATTGGTCACCTCCTCCTGGAAGCAGAACAATTAGTGCTGGGTGGACCCTGAATACAGGTCCATTCTAGGTGACAAATCTCTGTGTCCCCAGCACCCGCATAGGCCCAGGCCCAGAGGCAAAACTAACAATTACTTTTTGAATGTCTGATTTTGTTATAGCATTCTGATTTTTGTTAGAAAAGATAAAATTGCATTTGCTCCATGTTTCAGTGAAGGCAACTGAGCCTCAGAGATGGGGTGTGACAACCCCAAGGGCAAATAGCAAGTAAGCAGCAGGGAAAGCATTCACACCCCTCAGCAATAAGACCCTGCCTCTGAATGCCTCAAACACCAGTATGCCTGCTCTAGGAGTCAGCTGAGCCTATTTTTCCCTGTAGATGGAATCATACTAAACTGATGAAGTGAAATAAGATGCTATATATAGAAGCATGTGTATAAGTGATTAATAAATGTTCATTTACTTATTCACTTATTCTTTCACTGTGTAACAAGAAAAAGTATTTTGACAATCTGGATGAAGAACTAGGAATATGCTTACACACTATGACCCAGAAACTATGCTCACTAATACATCCCCATCCCAGTGCCTGCTATACAGTAGCAGCTTAATACTTGTTTATTAGGATGACATCAGGCCAAAGATGATGAGGAAGGAAGAGAAGCTTCAGTTCCAAATATACTCGTTTCCACATTACATAGAGTTAAAAAGAAGGAAAGAAGGGAGGGAAGGAAGGAAAGAAAAAGTAAAAAACAACAACTGAAAACAACCTAAATACCCTGTGCTATGGGGGCTTTGGTAAATGATGTCTCCTCTTACTGCTAGGATATTCCAAAGCTGGGGTCAGCAAAATATGGCCCATGGGCCATCTCTAGCCTACTGCCTATGTAGTTAAATAAAGATTAAATGAAAACCAGCCATTAATTTTGCCTGTCTTTGAACTTCACAACAATGGAATCCTATATTGTGTTCTTTTTAGTGTCCAACTTTTTTCACACAACATTACATCTAGAAGATTTTTTCTTATTGTATTAGTAGTTCATTCTTTTTCACTATTATCTAGTATTTCATTGCATGATTATAATTAATTACTATTTATTATTATTCCCATCTACATATGGGGAAACTGCAGCACAGAGATTTAAAGTAAGTTGCCCAAGGACACACAGCAGGTTCATGTTAGATCTGGGACTTAAGCCCAGGGTCCAGAATCTGTGCTCCTCCCCAACTCCCACCCCATACAGTACTGCCTCTCATGCTATGATGGTGGAAGCCCAAGGGGCCTTGGGAACTCAGAAGAAGGGCGACAGCATCCAGCCTGGGAGCCAGGGATAGATGCCAAGGAAGCTTCAATCAGAGCAATGGGTTTCCAGACTTATATGTCCATGGTGTCTGGCAGGTGTCATAGGTGATCAAAGCAGTTGATCTCTGAAAAACCACAACTTAAGGTCAGGTAGGTAATAAGGAGCAGTGAGGACTATGGCAAATTGAAGGATACCAACTCATGAGGAAGACAGCTGCTGGTATAGCTCCAAGTATTATTGCCATATGACAAGGCTGGCAGAGGTTGTGGTTCGCCAGGACACAGCAGGACTACAGCTGGCATTTCTTGCCAGATTCTGTGCCAGGAAGTCAGCACCACTTATTAAATAATTTGACTATCACCCCAGAGTTGCCAGATGCACTTTCTGTTTGCCAAAAACAAAACAAAACAAATGCACATGGGAGTCTACCTTTTAAATACTCCTGGTTTTTAAATGTTGGTTCACAAACCATTTTAAACCTGGGCAGGCCAAAGAGAACCTATGTGTGTTCTGGACTGGCCTGACCTGATCTAAGCGCATCTACAGACTGCACAGGAGTTGGGAAGCAAGGAAGGCAAGTTAGTTCCAGGTGGAAGGCACAGCAAAAGGGCTGGAGATGAGAAGAATTTGAATCCAGGCCTGAGTTTCCTGCACCAAAAGAAAAAACAAAAACCAAACCCAGCTAGTTGGGGCAGGGGTGGGCCAGGCTGGGCTGGGTCCTGCGTGCAATGACCTGCGTTGTGCTCTTCCCCGCCCACTCCTGCAGATTCTGGAGGAGAACATGAAGCTGGAGTGTAAGTGCCACGGCGTGTCAGGTTCCTGCACCACCAAGACCTGCTGGACCACGCTGCCACAGTTCAGAGAACTGGGCTACGTGCTCAAGGACAAGTACCACGAGGCTGTGCACGTAGAGCCGGTGCGCGCCAGCCGCAACAAGCGGCCCACCTTCCTGAAGATCAAGAAGCCACTGTCATACCGCAAGCCCATGGACACGGACCTGGTGTACATCGAGAAGTCACCCAACTACTGTGAGGAGGACCCAGTGACGGGCAGCGTGGGCACGCAGGGCCGCATCTGCAACAAGACAGCCCGCCAGGCCAGTGGCTGTGACCTCATGTGCTGTGGCCGTGGCTACAACACTCACCAGTACGCACGGGTGTGGCAGTGTAACTGCAAATTCCACTGGTGCTGCTATGTCAAGTGCAACACCTGCAGCGAGCACACCGAGGTGTACACGTGCAAGTGAGCACAAGACCACACTGCATGCGCCCTCAAGTCAGGTCCACTGTGGGGAGGACCAGTGTCCAGCTGCACTTACCCTGCAGGTCACTTCCCAGATCTCCATAGGGAACTGCAGGAATGCTGAGCTTGTCTTTCCTGCTGTGGAGGAACCTGCACAGTTTCCTGCAGACACTTTGGGGAAAGGGCTCTCCAGAGCCCCTAAGCATTCTAGTCCATTCCCAGCCTGCTCCGCCCTACCCCAGACACTGCCTGGGCCTCCTCGCTGCAGCAGAGCCTTGCACAGCAGGAACCCTGGATCCTTGGGCCTCATCATAGCAATATTTAACAATTTTGATTTAAAAAATAATATTAATTTATTTAATTAAAAAGAATCCTTCCACCTCATTGGGATCCGTTTTCTGCAAAGTGGACTGATTGCTTTCTTTGCAGGAAGATTTTGTCACTGGGACAAGGAACAAACTAGAACTGTACATAATTATTCTCTATGCAGATATTTCTACTAGCTGATTCTCCAAGTATCCCCTGCACTAGATGGTTAAGTACAGAGCAGATGTCATATATATATATATTTAAGCTGATCCAAGTTTGGAGATGTTTTTCACAATACATTTCCCATCCTTTAGTCCTCCCCAACTCACACTTCACCATTAGAAAAATCCAGTTTGGAATAAATAGAAAGAAGAAAGATAGTAATAAAAGCACCCAGCAGTTTTCATCTTTTGGAAAGTGAGCCACTGGATAGGAGAGAATGTTTTGTAAGAGACTATTTTTATATGAACATTTTATTTATTTTGCATCTGGCTGTATCATTCCGTCACCTGGGCTTCTTAATTCCAGGACTTGCTCTGTGGTAAGGAGGGGAAAGGCCTGGGTGTGGAGTCAGATCCCATGAGGACCCTCACACAACTGGGTTTTCAAGTTCTGTTGATCAAATGGGCAAAAGTAGCCATGGATGCCTGGGCTGTCATGTCATTGGTATTACCTGGGAAAGGAATTAGACCTCCAGTCTCAGCCTATTAAGTTCAGGCTTTAAGAGCAAGGTCACTGAGCAGTGACCTCATGATTAGCCATTTGGTGGGCAGGTGTGTGCATTGGGACCAACACAGGGACTTGGTCACGGCCACTTGGCAGAAGCCAGCTCAGGGAACCTACTCCTCACCAGAATGCTCCTGAATTGCTGAGTGCCCTGGGGGGATAGGGGTGAGGCATAGACCTCAGTTAAAAGGCAAAAAAGCTGGGGTGAGAGGTCCCATGAGCAGCTGGGTTTCCTGGATGTCACAGCCCCAGGGTAGACTGTCAGAGAGAGGGATGGACGAGGCCTCTCTGCCCTGGGTCCCCCTTCTTCCAGTGCCTCTGTACTTGGAAAGCTTTCCTTAAGGAGGCCGTGGGTGTTCTGCATCCGTGTGTGTGTGTGTGTGTGTGTGTGTGTGTGTGTGTGCTGCAGCTTTAGGGAGTCCTGGGATAGTCATGTGACTTTGTGCTTTCAGGTGTCTCTTGTGTGCTCCTGTGTGTACCCAACTATCTGTTTCTCTCCATCTGTGTGCCTGAAAGATTCGGGGTGGTGTATGCACGTGGGTGTGTGCCTGTGTATCTCTGCTTGCAGGGCAGGGCTGATGGTGTTGAGTCAAACTATAGGAACCTTTGGCAATTGTGTTGAGCCACCAAGAGATGGCACTTCTGAACTCTATGCCCACAGGTACCTCTGAGATCACAGCCCCATTGCCCCATAAACTGGGAGCCTCTCAATGTCTAGGCTGTATTGGACACTCCAGTGTCAGCACTGGGCCTGGATCACAGCATAGACAAATAAAATGGCTGGACAGTTGGTTGATTTCTTCCCTTGAACATTTATTTTCTTCTTTACTTGGGTATCAGGATGGGTAGGCATGAAGGAATGAGTGCATGGGTGGATGGGTGAATGAATGGGTGAGTGGGCAAGTAGGCAAGTGCGTGGGGGGTGGTGTCAATGGGTGAGGGAGGAGAAAATGCAGAAGTTTCTTGAAGTCTCCATGTCACGGTTTATCTCTGCCTCAGAAGCCTGCAGTGTCCACCATGAGCAAAGAGGCTTCTTAAGCCTTCAGCCCCTCTGCTCCCGACTGGCCTCATAGCACCTGAGAGTGAAGGAGATTCTGATCACCTCCCAGAGGCTCATTTAATGTAATCACATAAACATGGTTTCAGAAGCCACCCCATGTCTTGTTTAACTATTCAGATGAGGAGTGGGCCTGGCAGGGGGCAGCTGGGCTTGTGAGAAGAATGGCCAGGTCAGCTGCCAGCCTATCACTTGGCTCCTTAGTACACTGTTAGTTTCAAACGTGGGGACCTGCTCTCCCCCCGAAGGTGCCCAGCTAAGCTGTGCTCTGAGCCTCAGTTTCTCCATCGCAAAAGTGGAATAAAAATACCTACCTCACAGGGCTGTTGTGAGGGTCCTTCCAATAATGATTGTACGGCACTTTGAGTTTCAAAGCAATGGATGGATGCTAAGTATTATTATTATTAATTATTATTGTTGCTATTATTACTATTCTCTCCATAATGATAATATTCTTAAAACATAGCTTATAAGAATACATATTTTGCTCTGTGTTAGGCAGAGATATCCTCCCTTTGTTTTACTCCTAAAGTGGCTTTTCAATAAAACTGCCATTAAAAAGACAAAAATCTTAAGAGACTGAAACAAAAAACACACAGCAGAAAGTCCAGGACTATAGTTTGGAAAGCTCAGGGTCCAGGTGGATAACAACTGTGGGAAGTGAGCTGCTCAATGCAAGCCCATTGGAGCTGCATGAAGATGTGGGCATCCTCACAGTCAGACCCCCTGATTTTTCTTTAATCCTCACCCGAGGATATGTTTTTATTGATTTTTAGAGGGGCGGGGAGGGAGAGAGAGACAGAGAAACTTTGATGCAGGATGGAAACATCAATCAGTTGTCTGCTGTATGTGCCCCAACCAAGGATTGAACCTGCAACCTATGTATGTGCCCTGACCAGGAATTGAACCCACAACCTTTTGGTGTACAGAATGATGTTTCAACCAACTGAACCACTTGTTGGGGCAGATCTCCTACTTTTTTAATATGGAGCCAAGGGAGTACACGCTATATGCCTTTGTGCCTCCAGTGTGCAGCCTCTGACTTGGACCAAATCTCTTGTTTTAGAGATGGAGAAACTGAGGCGCAGAGAGGGACAGGACTTTATGCAAGGCTACCTAGCAAGCCCAGCAGAGGGAAGACAAAAACAGGACTTGTGCCTCCCGGAAAGGCCAACAGAGTGCATCCCTGAGGCAACAAAATGATGTGGAGGGGTGGGGTGGGAGGGATGAAATTCCTACTTGTTCAGACTACCACAGGGTGGGGCAAAAGTAGGTTTATAGTTCTAAGTACACAAAGCACAGAGTTTATTCTTGATTATTATTTATTAATCATTGTATTATTTTTCATATGAACAACTGAAAACCTACTTTTGCACCACCCTGTATGTGTTCTCAGGTGTGTGTGCAAATGCACTCATGTCCTTCTGGACTTAAGTTTAGAACTAATTCAAGGCTCCACTGGGCGATGGGTCTGTGCTCTCAACCACTCTGTAGGGGGTGCCCTGGCAGCCAGCCAGTGGAATCCCCCAAACTCCCATTCTCCTACCCACACCCCTTCAATCAAGGAAACCCCTTAGCAAGACCCAGGTCAGGAGAGTCCTGGGTTGACCTGTTTCTCTACCTAAGGTAGAGCTGTCCCTTGCAATCTTCAAGGCAAGTTTGTGATGTGTTTCCTGAGACCCTAAGAGGGCTCCATTCCCACTTACAAATGAGGACCAACCTCAGGGAAGCAAGTGCCTTCTTCAAGACCCCAGCCCCACAAAATGGGAAACAGGCTGCAGTCTGGTTGTCTCACATCAGCCTATGGTCCTGAACCTTCTGTCACCTCTAACAGAAGCTTAAGAAAGAAAGAAAAGGCAGTGGGTCACACAGGGCATCCAAGTCTGACACAGATTGTCATTGCCCACTTTGCCCCACCTTACTGAATGCATCCAACAGGCCACCAAGACCTGGCATTTCTTCCCAGGGAATTGCACAGCCCACCCACCTTCCTCACCGACTGGCCATCATTGTCTCTCACCTAGAAGAATGCCACCACCTCCTTCCAGGCCTCCCTGCCTCCACTCATGCCCCCTCAAACCAGCCTTTCAAGCTCTGGCTAGCCCAATCCACTTCCTGACTACAACCAGATGTGGCTCCTCATTATTCTGCAGATAAAGAGCAGGTTCATTAGTCCTTCACGACCTGGAAGCCTTGCCTCTGCCTCTTCTGCACAGCAGTAATAGTGCCATTTGTGAAGTTATTGCTTTGTGCCAGGCAAGGTTCTAGCAATTTTCATGAATTCTCTCTTAACTTCACACCACCCTGTATGTCTTGTACCTTTGCTGTGTCCTCTGCCAAGAACACCCACCTTCCTTTCCTCCACCTGACAGACTCTTGTTCCTCTCAGGAGCCCTTCTTTTCTGTTGCAGGAAGGATGAGGTCTGGAGCCACCCATGTACAGGTGCAGCCTTGCTGTTCTTCTTGTCCTGAGCTACTGGAATCGGAATTACACTCTCTCACAGTGTTCTAGAGCCATCTTCCAGTTGAAGGCAGGGAGATGAAGGGATTCACCCATACAAATCACTGACCAGGCTCTATGACCAATGTATCAGTTAACTATTGCTGAGTAACAAACCACCCCAAGACTCAATGACTTCAAACAATTGTATCATTGCAACTAAGTCTATGGATAAGTTGAGCAGTTCTGATCTCAGATGGGTTCCCTCATGCACCCATGGTTAATTGTGGGTCAGGTAAGTGACCCTGCTGATCTTGGCAAAACTCTGTCATATGTTTTGGAGTCAACTGGCTACAAGCTGGTCTAGAATGACTTTAACTAAGATGAATGGGCCATAATTTCATCCTCCAGTAGGCTAGCACAAGCTGGTTCACATCAGAGTAAAAGGATTCTGAAAGTAGGAGCAGAAGCTGCCAAACTTCTTGAGGCCCAGGCTCAGCACTGGCACAAGGTTAGGTCTGCTACATTCTATTAACCAAAGCAAGCCACAGGACCAGCCCAGATTCAAGGTGTTAGGAAGGAGACTCTTTTACAATGGGAGGAATTGCATAGTCACATAGCAATGGGTGTGGCACAGAGAAGGG